CAAATGAATAATCATGTGATGCTCTGTTTGTATCATCTTTGGTGTCCTTGAGAACTGGGATTCTCAGCACGGGAGAAAGGAGATATGGACGTGAGATAGAAAAGCTTGTCATAACCCAACAGACTTGAATTGAATTGGAAGTATATCACTGTAAACTCATGATGAATTTTACCTTGAAGTTTTTTGGAAATAAACAAACTTCTAAATTACCTATAGGTCAAAGAGGAAGTCTCAGAGGAAATTTAAAAATACATAGAACTGAATAAGAAGGCAGCACAACATATTGAAAATATATGAGACATAGCTAAAGTAATAGTGAGAAGGTAATTTACGGCATCAAATGCTAACATTAGAAAAGGGGAAAGGTCTAAAATCAATAATCTAAATTCCTTCTTCAGAGAACTAAGAAAAGCAAAATAAACCTACAGGAAACAGAAGAAAGGAAATAATAAAGAGCAGAAATCAATGAAATTGAAAACAGTTAACAGAGAAAATGAATGACACAAAAAGCCAGTTCTTTGAAAAATGTAAAATTGATAAACCTCTAGCAAGACTGACAAAGATAAACAGAGAAGACCCAAATCACCAATGTCAGGATGAAATGGGATATCACAGCAGTGCCTGTAGCTGTAAAAGGACAATAAGGAATTACTACCAACAACTTTATGCTCATAAATTTGACAATTTAGAAGAAATAGAACAATTTCTCAGAACGCACAAATTACCAAAATTCAATCAAGATGAAATAGAACCTGAATAGTCCTATAACCATTAAAAAAAATTGAATTTGTAGTACAAGTCTCCTGAAAAAGAAATCTCAAGGTCCAGATGGTTCTATTGGAGAATACTACCAAACATTTAAAGAAGAATTAACAGACTTTTACACCATGTCTTCCAGAAAATAGGAGGGAACACTTCCCAATTCATTTTAGGAGGCAAGTATTACCCTGCCACCAACACCAGACAAAGACAAGACAGAAAAAGAAAATACAGACCACTATCTCTCATGAAATTAGGTGCAAAAATCCTCAAAAAAACCCCAAAAACCAAAACCTATCAAGTTGAATCCAGCAATGTATAAAAAGAATTATACACCAGGACCAGATGGGGTTTAATTCGGGGATGGAATGCTGTTTGACATTTGAAAATCAATCAATGTAATTCATCATATCAACAAATGAAAGAAGAAAAGTCACAGGATTATGTCAATGGATGCAGAAAAGCATTTGACAAAATTTAGTACCCATTTATGATTAAAACTCTCAGCAAACTAGAAATAGAAGGGAATTTCCTTAAAGTGGCAAAGATCATCTATACAAAACATACAACTAGTATTGTACTTAATGGTGAACGCTTTCCCTCTAGGATCAAGAACAAGGCAAGGACTCTTATTCAACATAGTACTGAAAGTTCTAGCTACTGCAATAAGGCAGGAAAAAGCATGCAAAATGTAAAGGAAGAAATCAAACCGTCCTTATTTACGCATGACACGATTGTTTAGAAAATCTCAAGGAAATGACAAAAGCAAACCTCATAGAAATGGTAAGTGAATTCGGCGAGGTTGTAGGACACAAGATCAACATACATAAATCAGTTGCATCTCTATATACTAACAGTGGACATGCAGAAATTGAAATTAAGATATATGCTATTTATAATCACTAACCCAAAACGAAATCCTTAGGTGTAATTGTAACAAAACATGTATAGGATCAGTATGCTGAAAATTATAAAATAATGATGAAAGAAATTAAAGGCCAGTCAATTAAATACACACCATTTTCATGGATTGGAAGCCTCAACATAATAAAGATGTCCTACTGAAGATACCCCTAATTACTCTCTAGGTTTAATGGAATTCCTATCAAGATTCCAGCAAAATCTTTTTGAGACATAGGTAATAAGCTTATTCTAAAATTTATATGGAAAGGCAAAGGCCCTAGACTAGCTAAAACCATCTTGACAAAGAAGAGAAAAGTGGGAGTAATCACTTTTCCTGATATTAAAGCCCACTGCATAGCTACCGTAATCAAGAGAGTGTGGTGTTGGTGGAGAGAGACACTTATGTCAATGGAACAGAATAGAGAACCAAGAAACAGACCCCACAAATAAGGCCAACTGACTTTTGACAAAGATGAAAAAGGGGGCCTGCCCCGTGGCGTAGTGGTTAAGTTCATGCGCTCTGCTTTGGCGGCTCAGGGTTTGCAGGTTGGGATCCTGGGCGTGGACCTGGCACTCTTCCTCAAGCTATGTTGTGGCGACATCCCACATAAAATAGAGGAAGGATTGGCACAGATGTTAGCTCAGGGACAATCTTCCTCAAGTAAAAAGAGGAAGATTGGCAACAGATGTTTGCTCAAGGCCAATCCTCACAAACAAGCAGACAAAAAAGATGAAAAAAAAATTCAGTGGAGGAAGGATAACTTTTTCAACAAATGTTATTGGAGCAACTGGACAAAACCATGAACCTCAACTTAAACCTTATACAGAAATTCACTTCAAATGGGTCACAGACTTAAATGTAAAATGTAAAACTATAAAACTTTTAAGAAATATTGGAGAAAAATCTTTGGGATCTAGGCCTGGCCAAAAACATGATCCCTAAAACAAAGAAAATAATGTCAGACCTCATCACAATTAAAAACTTTTGTTCTGTGAAAGATCCTGTTAAGAGGATGGAAAGATAAGCTACAAACTGGAAGAAAATATTTGCAACACATATCCAGCAAAGGACTAATGTTTGGAGCATATAAAGAACTCTCAAAACTCAACAGTTAAAAACCAAACAATCCAATTAGAAAATGAGGGAATGATATGAACAATCGCTTCAGCAGATACAGATGGCAAATAAGCACATGAAAAGATGTTCGATGACATGAACCATCGGGAATATGTAATTTAAACACACAATAAAATACAAAAATGGCTAAAATAAAAAGTAGTGACAACACCAAATGCTGGTGAGCATGCGGAGAAATTGGATCACTCATGTATTACTGGTAGGAACGTAAAATGGCACAGCTATTCTGGAAAACAATTTGGCAGTTTCTTATAAAACTAAACATACAACTACCATATGATCCAGCAATTAAAATCTTAGACATTTATCTCAGCGATATGAAAACTTATTTTCATACAAAAACCTGTACACAGTGTTCATAGCAGCTTTGTAACAACTAAAATCTGGAAACAACCCAGATGTCCTGTAATGGGTTAAACAAATTGTGATACATTTGTACTATGGATACTACTTGGCAATAAAAAGGAACAAACTGTTGATACATGCAACAACTGCATGAATCTTCAGGAATTATGCCAAATGAAGGAAGCCAATCCCAAAAGGTTCCATCCTGTATAATTACACTTATATAACATTCTTCAAATGTCAGAATTTTAGAAATGGAGAAGAGATTAGCACTTGTGGAGGGGCAGGGTTTGGTAGTAAAGAGGCATCAGGAAGAATCCTTGTAGTGATGCAAATGTTCCACATCTTGACCATATCAGCGTCAATGTCCTGGATGTGATATTGTACTATAATTTTGCACGATGTTACCTTTAGAGGAAACTGGGTAAAGGACACACAGGATCCCTCTGTATTATTTCTTAGCACTGAATGTGACTCTACAATGATTTCAAAATAAAAATTGAGTTATGAAAAGTGGCAAATCACTTGGAAAATGGTTTGGCAGCTTCTAATAGGGTTAAAAATAAAGCTATTCTATGACCTAGCCATTCTACTCCTATGTAAATACCCAGGAGTAATGAGTGCATTTGTCCACAAAAAGATTTGTACGAGAATGTTCATAGTAGCTTCATTCTTAATAGCTGAAATTTGGAAACAACCCAAATGTCCATATGCTGGAGAATGGATATACAAACTGTGATATATTTACACAACCGAATACTTCTTATCCTCCCAAAAAGAACTACCGATGCACACAAAATATGAATGAATCTCACAAACGTTATGTTAAGCAATGGCAATCAGATACAAAAGAATACATAGTGTATATTTACGTTATCTAAAGATCAAGAACAGGCAAACTCATTGATGGTGACAGGAGGTGGAATACTGTTTACAGGTGGTGGGGGGATGGTATCAACTGGAAAAAAGCTTGAGGGAACTTTCTGGAGTGAAAGAAATGTGGTTACATAGGTGTACGTGTAATGTTAGAAGTTACTGAACTCTACACTTAAGGTTTATGCATTGCATTGTATGTTCATTGTACCTTGATAAAGCACTATAAAAATATCCCCATTCATGGGAGTAACAAAGACGCATCAGCTAGTCCCGCTGTGGAGATTTAATGTGGATCCTCTTTCAGACAAGCTGTAGAAAAGCATGTTTATAATACTGTGAGAAATTGAAAATCTGAACAGTTTATCAGTGACGTTAAGGAGTTATTGTGAAGTTTATAGGTGTGAAATAATTATTACTATGTTAAAGAATTTTTATCATTTAGAGAGACATATTGAAATAATAAGGATTTGCTTCAAAATAAAACAGATGAGGCGTGGTAAGAGGTACATGAAACGAGACTGGCCCTGAGTTGATTGTTTAACTTGCATGATTAGATTGATTATTGTCTACTTTTGACTCTGTGATAAAAAATTAAAATTTTAAAGTGTGATTAGAAGATACACACAGGTAGCTGTATTATTACCAATAAAACAGAAAAATTGGCCTCTGAGATAGTATGCTCTAAGGATGCTCAAGGGGCGGTGGAGAAAGTTAATGCCGCAATGAAATCGTTGCATGTCTACACGAGGTGTCTTCACTAAGGAGTGGGGATTCCCAAGAGTAGAAACCCACCCTACCCTCAGTGGATACCAAGTGTATAGGTAACTTATGTGTAAGTTCTTTCAGTCAAACTGGGTTTATGATGACGTTAGCATATACAGACGCATTGTTTCTCCATAGCTTGTCCGCCCGTTGTACCCAATTGAGGCAATGAGGTGAATTTTTCCGACTTTTCACGTGCTCTCTCGTTTTCTCTAAGGACCTGATGTTGTTTTGTGAGGATGATCCACAGCCGCTTTGGCCGGCGATTCCCCCTGCCATTCTCGCTCCGACTACGTGGTTGTCAGAAGGGCAAGCAGACATTTGTCACCTCTGGAATGCAGGTAAATTGGTTAAAGAAGAGGCACTTTACTCAGAAATGTGAATAAGAAACCCCGGGCAGGAGTTGTTTTTCATCAGGTTTTATTTTGTGAAGTATGGCAGCAAGGGCTTTAATGTCGCTCTGACAATGAGGGACGGGACTGGCGTGGATGAAGCCAACCCACACGTGACCCTGTAATCTTATTTTACCATACATTTCAATGGTTTTTTTCTCTATTTTGCTTTTTTTGTTCTTCACTGTTTTATTTAAAAATTATTAACTACAAATCTTAAATTTTTTACAAATGGTTAAAAAAGAAAAAATTAATTTTAGTTTTCTCATTTGTATTAACTTCTCCTTGATAAAGAGTTTAAATTATGACAGTTTTCAGAAGCAAGCATCAGATGAAAATGTGAAAAAGAAGATGCACGGTATCCCACAAATTGGTTATTCATCGCTTGAATAATTAACATTAGAGAAAGGCACAGTATAAAATTATACAAAACTGGCCTCCGATAAATTACATTATCAGATTCCAACTGGGCTCTACTGCTCCTCAACATCTGAGTGATTTCCTGTTGAGCCCCTCCACCCTGTGTCTATTCTCCATGAACTCTCAATTTTCAATACATTCTTCTTCTTGAGTTTCTCAAAAAGTAGGATGAAAGATCTTCTGCCAAGATAAGAGTGAAGCGTTCTCATTAGTGTCTTTTATCCCCTCATACATCTTTGCTTTTATGTTCCTCCAGGCCTCCTTTCCCTTATCATGAGGTGGCTCCTTATGTTCTGAGTTTCATCTTTTCCCTCATCTTTGGACCATGTGCCTCAGTTTTCCCTTTATATAGGTCCTCAGTATCCAAAACGTAAGAAGTGTAGTTTATTATAGATTTATTTACAAGTTCATGTTTATATAGCTTTCTTATAAAACCAGTTGTGAGAATGATGAGGATATTTTAATAGGCAGAAAAACAATAAGTTGTGGGTTATGGTGATATTTGTAGCACAAGGATGACGTTATTCACATGGATAATTAGTTATAAGTGGTTACAATTTTTTAGACAGCTTGCTTTGTATTTTTTTGAATACACTTTATGTAAACTGATCCAGATCCAGAAGCTTGAAAGAATAACAGTAAGGAAAACATTTTTGCATTGTAATATCCCCTTACGTTCCCCAAACCCCTAACATTTTTAAAAATAGACTTTATTTTTTAGAGTTGTTTTAGGTTCACAGCAAAATTGAGCAGAACATACAGAGATTTCCCCATATACCCCCTGTCCCCAGACAAGCACAGCTTCCCCCACTGTCAACATCCCGCACCAGAGTGGTGCATTTGTTGCAGTCAGTGAAGCTGCATCGACACATCGTTATCACCCAAAGACCATAGTTTACATTAGGGTTCACTCTTGGTGTTGTATATTCTGTGGGTTTTGAAAAATGGATAATGACGTGTATCCACAATGATAGTATCGTACAGAGTTTTTCACTGCCCTAAAACTCCTCTATGTTCTGCCTATTCAGTCCTCGCTCCCCAACCCTTGGCATCCACTGACATTTTAATTATCTCCCTAGTTTTGCCTTTTCTGGAAGGTCATATAGTCGAATCATACAGTATGTAGCCCTTTCAGACTGACTTCTTTCATCTAATAATATGCATTTAAGGTTCCTCCATGTCTTTTCATGGCTCGATAGCCCATTTGTTTTTAGTGCCGCATAGGGTACGCTGGGGTATTTATCTATTCACCTACTGAAGAACGTCTTGGTTGCAGCCACGTTTTGGCAATTATGAATAAAGGTACTGTAAATATCTCTGTGTAGGTTCTTGTGTGGACATGTTTCCCCCTGCCAACATTTTAATTCAAGTGAAATTGAGTATAAATGAGCATCACAGGCAACTCTTAAGAGGAAAAAGTCATAAAACATATCACATGAGGGGGCCGCCCTGTGGCCAAGTGGTTAAGTTCATGCACTCCGCTTCAGCAGCCCAGGGTTTTGCCGGTTTGGATCCCGGGAGGAGACCTAGCACGTCTCATCAAGCCATGCTGAGGCGGAGTCCCACATAGCAGAGCCAGAAGGACCTGAGCTAGAATCTACAACTATGTACTGGGGGGCTTTGGGGAGAAGAAGAAAAAGGAAGATTCGCAACAGATGTTAGCTCAGGTGCCAGTCTTTAAAAAAAAATGTCATGTGAGGAATGAGTCCACCATTTTACCTGCTTAGGATGCATCTTATATGGAGGAGCTTTTCCTATTTTTAAGTCGTTCTTTTCTCCAGTCTTTTCTTCATACTGATCTCGAGATATCTTGCTAAAATGCAGATCTTAGCATTTCACTTCCTAGCTTAAAAACTTTCACCAGTTCACCACTGCCAGTAGGATGTCTAATTTTTTTTTATGCCGGTGTGTAAGACTTTTCGTGGTCTGGTTGCAGCCAACCCTTTTGGCCTCATCACCCAATACTGTCAATATTCACAGTATTACTTGTGTAGTTTCTGCTCCGTAGAATGTCTTTGTTTCAGTTACTTCAGCTGTGTAACACATTGCTCTAAAACTTTGTGGCATAAAATAACCATTTATTCTGTTCATGGATTCTCTGGGTCAAGAATTAGGCCAGGGCACAGTAGGGATGGCTTGTCTCTGCGCCGTGACGTATGTTTGGGCCTCAGCCCAAGAACACAAAGGCTGGGGACAGGGATCATCTGAAGGCTCATTCACTCGTGTGTCTGGTGGTTGATGCTCACTGTTGGCTGGGGGCCTCAGTTTCTCTCCATGTGAGCCTCTTGCTGTGGTCTCTCCACGTGGGCTGGTTTGGGCTTCCTCACAGCATGGTGGCTGGGTTCCAAGGGGAAGCATCCTGTGGAAGGAAGGACCAGGCAGAAGCTGAGTAATCTGGAAAGTCGTGCTGTGATGCTTCCTTCCCATTCAGTTCCTCAAGGCAAGCACGAAGTCCTCCCCACATGCCCGGGGCGGGGCTGCAGACTCCCACCTCTCCATGGGCAAATGTCAGCGTCATTGAGAGAAAAGCACGCAGGATGGGGCGTGTGTTAGTACAGTCATCTTTGAAAACGCAGTCTGCCGCAGTCCTGCACCAGAGCTGACTGCTGGACTAAATGCTGTTCGAACAGCAGGGCCCAGCTCGAATGTCCCTACTGCGATAAACCTTTCTACACGGTAATTTCTCCTTTCACTGTGTTCCCACAGAACTATGTCCATACCCCTCGTATAGAATTTATAGTTTTGTATCATAATTATTGTTTTATTTATTTTTAATTACATAAGTAGTAAGTGGATATACTCATTTTTAAAAATTGAAACAAGATAGTTAGAATCCCACTTGACTGTCCCTTGCCCCAACACAATCCCTTTCCCAGAGTGAACTGTCATTGTCAATCTATTGGTTACTCTCCAGCCCTTTCTCTGAGCGTTTACATATGTACGTGTACCTTTAGAAGTATGTAGAATTAAGTTAATTTTGTTTTAGAACATTGTTGTGTACTTTTCTGAAACTTCTTTTAAACAGTATCACTTGGCAGTCCTTCAGTGTATGTCAATATTTAGAGATTTACCATAATTTTTTTTTAACTGTTACATTGCCTGGATATTATAGTTTATTTCCCTACCGATAGATGCTTTGGTGCTTTGTATTTTCCATTGTTACAAATAATCCTTCAGAGAATAGCTTTGTGTATATATGTGATTGTTTCTTTAGCGTGGATTCCTAGAAATAGAATCCCTGGATCAGAATGTGTGCCCATTTTCACTTTAATTGATACTGCCAAATAGCCCCTCAAAATATCAATCCCAATTTACACTGGCTTGTAGTGTGTAATAGTCCCTATTTACTCACACCCTCCCCAACACGTGATATTTTCAGGTCTTCTGTGTTTATCACTTAGATAAAGGTTGTGTTGCATAGTGAGTATAATTTACGTTTCCATGTATTAATTGCATATTTCCATTCCCTCTTCTGGGAATCGCCTCCTTCTATCCTGAACCTGTTTTTCTTTTGCATTGTGTGTTCTTGTTCATTTAAACTGATTTTGTAGCGTTTTTGTGTGTGTTACTAATCTTGTCTCTTATTTGTGTTGCAAACATCATCTTCCAGGCTGTGAATTGTCTTTAAACTTCTTTCATAGAAGTTTCATGTTTTGTGTAGTCATATTTATTCCTCTTTCCCTTCAGAGCTTTTGTTTTTTGTGTTTTTAAGAAGGCTTTCCTTACAGCAAGTTCATAGTACATATTCATGCATGTTTTACTTTAATTGTTTTAGTTGTTTAATCTCTCTGAATTTAAAGTGTTTGTGAATGGTTTTAGATAAGGTCAGTGGGCAGTCAGTTGCCTCAACAACGTTTATTGACTAGTTCATTTTTCTCTACTGTTTTGAAATGACTCTTTAACCTGAACTAAATACTATCTGTTTGACAACTCTATTCTGTCCCATTGATCCATTTTTCTATTCCTGGTATGTTTAATTTTTTATAACTATTATAATAATATGCCATAGTATGAATATAACTTCTTTTTTCTTTGCTGAGAAAGATTTGTCCTGGGCCAACATCTGTTGCCAGTCTTCCTCTATTTTGTATGTGGGTCTCTGCCACAGCATGGCCGCTGATGAGTGGTGTAGGTCCACGCCTGGGAACCAAACCTGGGCCACTGAAGTGGAGTGCTCTGAAATGAACCACTAGGCCACAGGGCTGGCCCCTGAATGTATCTTGTTTTATTTAACCAGTATTGTTTAATGATCACTTAGGTTATTTCTGTATTTTTACTATTATAAATAGTGGTGAAATGACATCTTTCCCCTCTCTCAAATAAAGTAGGCTTTTTATTTATATATTCCACAATTTGAAGCAATTCTAAAATACGTTATTCTGGGGCTGGCCCAGTGGCGTAGTAGTTAAGTTCGCATGCTCCACTTCCACGGCCTGGGGTTTGCAGGTTCAGATCCTGGGCGTGGACCTAGCACTGCTAGTCAAGCCATGCTGTGGCAGTGTCCCACACAAAAAATAGAGGAAGACTGG